CTCCTAACCCCCTCCCCCGGGAGACGTGACCCGCACCTCTCCCGCAGGTACACATACACATGTGCCAGCAGCTTCAGTACGGCATCCCCCAGGAACTCGAGCCGGTCGTTGTTGAACACGGGGTCTCCGGCGGCGGGGGCGGTCAGAGAGGTGGCCACCAGCAGCAACCGCCGGTCCCGGACGCATGGCTCAGGACAGCCGGGCTGGAAACTGTACGCGAGGAGAAATAGGGAGGTACGACAGTACGGCAATACGACAAATGATTGAATGTGAACTGTGTCTCAGGTGCCGCACACACACACATCCCCCCCGAGAAAATATCAGAGATCGAACACCGCCACTACAGCAGCAGCAGCAGCAGCAGCAGCAGCAGCAGCAGCACAGGGTGAGAGCCGGGGCAGTAGCCGGCACTGGGAAGTCAGGCTAGGTGTACGGCAGCCGTCTCTCAAGCCTTCCCAAGTCTCTCAATCCCATTGGCCCCCTCAGCCCCCCTCAGACACATCAAAAACCCCATATCACGATGTCACCCACGCCCCTACCGCTAGCGGCGGTCGACAGGGATTGGGAACGCAGCTCCTTCCCCACCCCCCACCCCCCGCACCCCCCTCTTCCTCCGCCCTCCCAATGCCCCCCCCGCCATCCCCCACACCTAGCTGGCTCAAGTGTGTTGTCCAGGTAGTCGGAGGCCGCCGTAAGGCCCTCCACCCGCCACATGATGCTGGGCAGCCCCTGGAGCAGCCTCCACCGGTGGAGGTCCATCGGGTACAGCGCCACCCGGTCGGGGCGCAGGGGACCCAGCTCCCGGAACATGTGACGCCGCTCCCGCTGTCTACGAGGAGGGGGAGCACGGCCGGTGCCGCCAGCGGCGGCGGCGGCGGCGGCGTCATCAAGGATCTCGTCACCGCCGCCATTCTCGGCCTCGGACACCTCGGCGGCTTCATCTCCGCCCACATTACAGTTGGCGGTTGTTGGTTGGTGTCGTGACGCGTCTCCGTCCTCGTCAGCACTCGTGCCCTCCCCATCCAACTCCACGGGGGTGGGTGCGGGGGTGGGGGGCGCACTGGGCGAGGGGACCGGGCTAGGTCTCACACACCGAGTCCGGAACGAGCCGGGTACAGGGTGTTCGCCGGCGGGGGTGAAGACTGCAGCTCCGGAACCCGGGAGGTCAGGGTCGGTAGGCAGGGGCCGCTTAGCATGGGTTTCGGAGGTGCCGTGCACTGAATCCGTACTTGTACGAGCCTGGCCGCCGCCACCGGTTCCGCCGCCTTTGCCCTGAGCGTCGCCGTAGCCCCTGTCATAGCGGCTATGGAGCCAGTCCCGGCGCCCCTTGCCGTACATGGACAACTCCTGGATCATCAGCTTGCAGGGAACGGCATCGCCGTCAGGGCCGTCGCCGTTCGCGTTGCTATTCGTACCGCCGCCAACAGCGACGGCGGCAGCACCGGCACCCTCGTCAGCTTCGATCCCCCGGGCGGCGACGCCGTCGGATCCCTTGTCACTGGCAGCATTGCTTTCCCTAGCCGTACACGTCTCCGTACCCCTGCCGCCGTCAGCCGCCGCCATGTCCACGTCACCGGCGGTACGAGGCCCTGCCAGCCCGCATACCCGGTAGGTGTTGAGTGACAGCAGGAGTCCGTGGCGCTGCACCTGGCGCTGCACAGCAAGAGGGAGCTTCGGGGGGGGCAGCGACTCGGCGTCCCGCGGTACTGCCCCCGGCGGCAGTGCCTCCGCCTCCGCCTCCGCCATGGTGACGTCCATCGGTCCGGAAGGGCAGCCAGCCGCAGCGGCCGCTCCTGCTGCCGCCGCCGCTCCTGCTGCCGCCGCCACTTCTGCTGCCGCCGCCGCTCCTGCTGCCGCCGCCGCTCCTGCTGCCGCCGCCACTTCTGCTGCCGCCGCCGCTCCTGCTGCCGCCGCCGCTCCTGCTGCCGCCGCCACTTCTGCCGCCGCCGACGCTTCTCGCGACTGTGACGGCCCCGGCTCGATGGCCATTGGATCCCCCGCCGCTGCCGGCGACGGCGACGGCGACGGCGGCGGCGGCTCCGCTGCCCCCGTCGCGTCTGGCGCCAGCACCTCCGGCCCCTCGTCGGGCTCGTGACCCTCCGCCAGCGGCGTCGGCACCGTCGCCAGCTGCCGTACCACGTCCCAATCTATGAATTCCAGTACCTCGCCAGCAGCGCCGCTATCCCGCGCCGCCGCCCGCTGCAGCCTCCTCACCTCCAGCCCCTGCTGCTCCCCCCCCTCCGCCCCCTCCGCCACCTCAGCGAAGGGCACCTTGATGGGCAGCGGAGTCCACCAACAGCTCCGGGGACCGCCCGAGGACCAAAACGTCTCAGGAACGTCACCCCCCCCTCCCCCGCTACCCCCGTGACCCGGCTTACTAGCCGCTGATCCACCACCACCACCTCCAACATTAGCAGTAGCTGTATCGGTAGCAGTGGCAGTCGCAGCTGCTACAGCTAACCCTTCTCCGCCTCGTCCACCCGAGTTTACACCACCCGGTTCTTCCTCTACTTCCATGTCATCTCCTGGCCCCCTGTACGGCAACCCGGCGGAGGCGGCCGCGCCGCCGCCGTCAGGGGTAGCGGCGCTGGCGCCCGCGGCGGCTACCTGCGGCTCCTCATGTTGCCTAATTAGGTCTTGTAGGGCCGAGTTGAGGTGCTTGAAGCCAACCCAGTCGACCCAGGCGTCGTGGTCAGCGGCGCTCACGCGGCGGAAGGGCAACATCTTGCCAGCGATGTCGGCAGCGGCCGAGATGGCGGAGCGTACGGCAGCGGCGGGGCATGGCGCCGTCACCAACCTCGCCAGCACGCAGCCCAAGGTATTGATCACTCGGTCCAGGAGGGGTCCGGCAGGTAGCGGCCCCACGAGGACGGGGGTTGCCTGAACAAGCAGCTCACCTGTACGGAGGGAGGGCGTGGGGGCCAGAGCTGAAAGAACAGTTATGGTGGAGGAGCAGAGATTCATATTCCGGTAGGGAGGGGGAGGAGGTGGGGGAGGGGGTGGGCATGACGGGTGGGTGGGCATGAGGTCTCGGGCCCCGCGGTCCGCCACCTCCCCCTCTTCCCCCTCTTCCCCCAGCCACCCAGCCACCCACCTTTCCCGCCGTCGGGCAGGTGGAGGTCGAATGCCGGCAGCGGGGGCAGCTCCCCGTGCAGCACCACCCCCCAGCAGAGGGCGGCGAGAGGGGGGGCAGGGGCGGGGGCAGGGGCAGGGGTCGCAGCCGCACCCGAGGCGGAGGGCACACCCAGGCCCTCTTGTTGCCCCTCCGGCGGCTGCTGCTGCTCCCCGGGCGCCGCAGCCGCAGTGGCTGCCGCCACCACAGAGTCATCCAGCTCGGTGAACAGGGGGGTGGAGATGGGCAGATGTAGCAGACCCGCGGGCAGAGAGCCTGGGGAAGAACAGCTACAGCCACCGCCGCCACCGCCACCGCCGCCACCGCCGCCGTACCCATCTGAGCTGCTCATCCAGCCCGTTTCGGTATTCTTGGGCCGAAAGACAAAAACGTACAGCGTGTACGTCGCAACCGGGACGGGTGGGTCCTGCAGGCAGCAGCTGCTACTGCCGCCGCTACTGCTTCTCTTAGCTGCTGCTACAGCCGCTGCTGCTCTCGCCGCGCTCTCCCTATCGACCTCCAGGAGGGGTGTACGACTGAAGCCCCGCGTGAGCGTAATGGGCAGCTGGTGGGTCAGCGTGGCCTGGGGGATGTTGTACATGACTAATACACACCACCATGGAGGGGAAGGGGTGGGGAAGAGGGGTAGGGGTGGGGGGGAAGAGGGGTTTTAGGGTTTCAGGGCGTTTCGCTGACATTTCGCTGACATTTCGCTGACATTTCGGGTGGAGGAGGACGCCAGGTTGGGTTCGTTAGCGCCAACCGCTCAACAAACTAACCAACTAGCAGTTATCCCCCACCCACACCGCCACAGCCATCTCTCCCCGGCCTCAATCCCCCTGTCCTTTCCCCCCTGTTTCCCCCCCCCCTCACCCCCCGGCACCCACATCCTCCAAACGCCGCCGCATGCGCCGCCTTGGTGGCGCCCCGCCGAGTGATCTTGAGCCGCAGGTGGTCATCCAGATCGCCACGCTCCCACAACCGCCGTACGGCCTCCAAACTGGCCAACTGGGGTTAAGAGGCAGGGAGGGGGAACGGGAGCAGGAGGAAGAGAAGGAGGTGGTGAAGGAATGGGTGAGGCGGTGAAGGAAGGAGGTGGTGAAGGAATGGGACGAAAACCGTCGGACAACAAAAAAAACCCTAAAACCTATTTGGAAATCTCCCTACTACCAGGACACAGAAGAACAGCTACCATCTTTTCTGGTGATGTAGTGCGTACGTGTGTACGGCAGGCGAACTTTCCCCTTCTCAACACATGATACCATATCCAACACTCCACACACACCCACATTCTCCCCCCTCCCGCAATACACATACATACATACATACACACACACAAGCGCACCTTCTTCGCCAGTCCCTTGGTGGCGCACGGGGGTCCGTCCACGGGCTCCATGCCGAGGTTGGCGGGCAGGAACACCCGGTAGGTGAACCGCGGGTCATGGGGCCCAGGGCCCAGGGACTGCCAACGGAATATGGGCTGGAGGACAGTGCTCCTGCGGATGGAGGGGGTGAGGGGGCGACGGCAGCAGAGGGGTCAGCTAACCCGGTTGCCCAGTCCCCCCCCCGACCCACCCCAACACACATTCCCCTCTTCTTCATACATACATACATACATACATATGTACGTACATACATACATACCCCCCTGGACACCCACCCGTCGTTCCCGGGCAGTTGGCAGCACAGCTGCAGCAGCAGGTCCACCGCCCAGACAGCGGGCAGCCGGGCACCTGGGGGGGTGGGGGGAGGCGAGGTAGGGGCCCGGGGGGGGGGGGGCGGGGAACAGGGGTCACACGGGGCATACACGTCCCCAGCACGTCTACTGGGGATGTTGGTGTTGGTGGTGTGCGGTGCGGTGCGGGTCATACCCGGCTGCCAGGAAGACAGGCTAGGAGAGGGAGCTGAGGGCCAGGAGTACGGCCGCAACCCCCAGCATGCCCCTTCCGCCCCTCCCGGACCCCTCGGCCTGGACTAGCACTGCGCCCCTCCTGCCAACCGGCCCCCCCCCACACACACACCCACACACCCTGATCATCACCCACACAGGCCGGCGCACCCGCCACCTCCCCACACACCGCAACCGCCAGCAACCCACACGAACCCCTCATGCCCCCCCCCCCGACTCAAAGCCCCCCGGACTCACCCGTTGCGGGCACCTCCAACGCCATCTCGTCCCCGGCCTCACATACCAGAGGGGGAGGGGGCTCCTCCCCGCCGTACACCTCACCCTCCTCCACTTCCACGTCGCCCTCCCCCCGCCCCCCAGCACTCCCCGCCCCCCCCAGGTCCAACCCCACATCCAGTTCCATGGCCCCCTCCACGGCCGGGGGAGAGGTACCTGCGTACGGATGCGGGTAGGGGGGGGGAGGTAATTAATACCAAAAATAATTTCTCAAAAGTAAAGCCCCGGAAGGAGGGCGCAAGAGCAAAACACACCGCACGACGTGTCTCAAAGGAGCGGACCTAACACTGCTGGCCGGCAGGCGTGTACGGGTGTACGGATTCCCAGCTCACCTGCCGTACCCCCCGAGAGGGCACGGAAATTGGCTGTAGCAAGACTGTGAGCCTGTAGCATCAGATGTTGCTCAGCCCTGCGTTGTCGTAAACGTGCGGCCGTACAACTTCCTTAACGGGGGAGTTCGTGACACGTGCTGGGGTTTGCACAGCGTGGGCGCGTGAGATGAGAGGTGCGGTGAAGGGAGCGAGGTGCGGTGTTTCTGCAAAAACAGTCCGGGGGTTTGCAAGATCCTGATCCGCGTGGTGGTGGGGGGGGTGGCGAGAGGCGCCGGCACACCCCCGCGGTAGGTGGAGCTGCTCGACAGCTGACCCTCCCGCCCGCCGGGGTGATCTGGCCACAGCAGCTGTCCACACCCCCACCCGGGAGCGGACCCCAACTACCTGCGACTCGTAGGGGGGCCTGTGTGGGCGGGGCCTGTACAGTGAACAACATACATCCAAGATATAGGGTATATATGGGGCTTATTGTATATATATGCATATATATGTATTACATATACATGTATATACATATATACATATATATGTACATGTGTATACATATATGTACATGTGTATACATATATATAGGCAGGCGGCTGGCAGAAGTTAAGGCCTGACTTCTGCTCCCAGTCGATCCAGTCGACCCGGGTTCAAATCCGCCTGCCAGCTCCTCGGGTATTTGAGGAGTGATGAAATGGGAGGTGGCCCCCCATCATATGGACGGTGTAGGACGTGATAATATCAACTTGCGAGCTGACCAGGAACTAAGTTGATGCGCCGTTGATCCGCTAGATTTGGTTGGATGCTGGTGGTGAGTTGCCGAACCCAACGAATACATTCTGAAGTCGGATGGGGTGACGGATTAGGGTGCCCCTCTAGCAGGGGAGAGCAGGGACTGCCCCGGGAAAGGGGGCCGCTGGCGAAGTTAACCACCCTGTAATAACATACATATATGTATACATATGTAATACATATATATGCATATATATACAATAAGCCCCATATATACCCTTTATCTTGGATGTATCGACATACATGCCTTACACAGCACAGCACACCGTACTCTGTCGAGCTGTGCTTCTGCCTGGAGACCCAAAGGATCATGTGTGTATATATGTGTGTATATACAATTACATGTGTGTATATGAAATATATACGTATGTGTAAATATATACACATCTTTGTATATATTGACATATGTATATATGTAAATATATACACACATATATACACAAGATCCTTTGACGCCTTGAGACAGAAGCACAGTTCGACATAGTACAGCGTGCTGTGTACGGCATGTAGTACATGACGCGGGACGAAAGAGCACCTACTGGAGCAGTTTCGTTGCGGCCGCGTCTTCCTCAGGAGTGCTGACCAGCAGCCAGTGCTCCGCACCTGAGGTGTGTACGACATTGGTACGACAAGGTACAGCATCCGGATGTCAGGATAATGCGCCTACAGTCCCCAGTTCCTAAACAGGCAACACCGTGGGACTACAGGCCGGTCGTTTCAGACGACTCTAGTCACCAACTCCGGAGGGAGGGCTGCTGGGGCCTCGGGGGCAGTCAGGGAGACGGGATTGCACACCGTACCATGTGTGAACGAACGCACTGCCGTACATTACCGAATTCAGAGAGCGTCGTACACGTACCTGGCGCCCTGGCCCTTCCCCCCGACTGGACAAAGGCCGTGACGTGCTTGGGCAGATCCAGAGCCGCCACCAGCGTGCAGTGACTGCAGCCCAACGTACGGCACATGTACGGAAGCACGTCAAGGTGTCTCCAATCGTCCAATACGGGCTGCTGAGACCCCGACCCAGCTAGGCAGTGGGCCCCCCCAGGACCAACCCCCGGGGACACACACCACCTTTTAGTGCACCCTGCAACATGGACTGCCTTCCGGTCAGCAGTTCCCCGCAACGACAAGGCGGTCTGGCAACACATTCATTACATACATACATACATTACATACATACACACATACATACATACATACACACATACATGCATTACATAGAGCAAACGAAAGTCACTCCGATGCAGCCGGTGGTGGTGTTCACAGCAGTACGGCAACACAGCCTGCCAGTTACCAGCAACCTCTGCCCCCCCTCGCCCGCATAACACATACTGCCCGCCTGACTCCTCCTCTTCCCCTCTCTGACGGGACCCCCTAACCCCCCCATACACACACACACACACACACACCTAAAGTCCAGTCCCTCGGCGCCCACAGACGTGGACAGCAGCAGATTCAGACGACCCGCTGCAAAGTCCTGTCGTACTTGCTCTTGTTGCTGCTCTCGGAGGTCCGGATGCGGGCGAGGGCGATTACCGAGAAAGGGAGGTTGGAGTGGCGGGGAGGAGCCAGGATTAATTCTGCATCCTATGACGACGAAGGTTCGACAGGAATACGACAGGAGGCCATATGAAACACATTCCACTTGAGATCTCCGCATCGAGCACCGGCGGCGGCGGCAGTAGCTGTAGACTTCATAGGGCCCCTTGCCCCACCTTCCTAACCTCTCCTCCCCCCATACACAATACAACCCCCTAATCAGCCGTCGTCGTCCCAGGACACACACACACACCCCTTTCCCCCCTTCCCCAGCCCATGGAACCCCCCCTCCCTCCCCTCC